GTTTAAAGCTAGTCTCAGCCAGAGTGAGGCACTAAGCAACTCAGACCTTGTCTCTAAATAAAATACAAACAAGGGCCAGGGATGTGGCTTTGTGGTTGAGTGCCCCTGAGTTCAATTCCCAGAATCCCCGCCCTCCAAACAAACAAACAAAATGGGCTGGGGATATGGCTCAGTGGTTAAGTGCCCCTAGGTTTAATCTCCAGTGCCAAAACAAACAAACAAATAATAAATAAATAAATAAAAATAATAGAACAAAAGAGGGAGAAAAGAATCATACAAAGTAACATTTATACATTTTCTGGAATTAAGTTAATATAACTCTAAAGTATATTTAGAAAGATATATGTCATATACACTATGAAAGTGATATACAAAAATGTTTAAATGAATTAATAAGCATAGTTCGGCCATATTCACTGGATGCAGAAGAGATCATCAAAGGAGAAATGAAAACAAAAACTATACATGAGATCTACAGAAAAACAAAGAAAAATGACAAATATTAGTCAAATTATACTGATAATAATATTAAATATGAATTGATTAAACAATCCTCAAGAGGTAGAGGTGAGCTAAATGATTCTATGCTGTTTACAAAATACACACTGTAGATTGAAAAGCACAAATAAATTAAGCATCTAAGAATGGAAAAAGAGCATGAAATAATTACCAAAGAGAGTTGGAGTGGGTATGCTATCAAACAAAATAGACTCTAAGACCAGAATAATGTTTTTAGAGTTAGTTAAGGAATTTTATAGGATTAAGCAATCAGTTGGTTTAGCAATAAAAACAAATATATACCTAATAACAGATCCCCAAATTCATGAAACAAACATTGACAGAAATGAAGAGATAAATGTCAATTTGACAATGAGAATTAGAAGCTTCAATATCTGACTTTCAATACTCAATAGAACAAGGCAGGAAATCAGTGCAGAAATAGAAGGGTTAGACAGCAGTATAAATCGACTAGATTTATCACACATCTGTAGAACACTCCATTCAAAACAGCTGAATACAGACTTCTCACATGGACATGAATCAGGGTCTAGAACAGACCACATGTTTGGCTATGAAGCAATTCACATTATATTTAAAGGAGTTAAATAAAATTCACGGAGTGGGTTTTCTGACCACAATGGAATGGAAATCAATAAAAAAGGAAATCAGGGAAATTTACAAACTTTGGAAAATAGACACATTGAGTGTATTCTTAAATACAAATTAAGAATACAATCAATGAGTCAAATAAATAATTACAAGAACATTAGAAAACTCTTTTAGATACATGAAAATGTAAGTTAAAGAATTAAAATACTGCTTACACAGAAATGTGTAATGCTAAGTAGCTATTAAAATAAGTAAGGTCTCAAATCAATAACTTGCCCTTTTGTTTCCAGACACTGGATAAAGAGAAAAAAAAATCAAACCTTTAAACAAACAGAAGGAAAGGAATAATAAAAGTGAATGAGGAAATTACTGCAATAGGAAATGTCAAAGCAGAAGTAAAAAAAAATCAATAAACCCCAAAGTTGCTTTTTAAAAATTTCAAAAAAAAATTTGGCATTCAAAAAAATTGAAGTAGAAAAGCACTTTCCAACTCCTTAAGGCCAGTTTTACCCTAATATCAAAACCAGAAAAAGATACAATGAGAAAAGTATACAAACAAAGAGCTCTTTTGAATTTAAACAAAATAATAATGATTAATAATAATCATGATAATAAAAAGAAAAAAGAAAACCCTCAACAAAATTCTGGCTAACCAAATCAAGAAACTAAGAAAGAATTATACACCAGGATGAGGGAAAACTTATTCTATGATTGAAAGTTTCTTTTTAAATCTGAAAGTCAGTTAACACAATACAACATAAAAATAGAATAAAATACAAAGGTGCCATGATTATCTCAATAATCAGAGGAAAAGGCATTTAATAAAAGTCAATTTTGTGATTAAAAAAAAACTAAATAACAATAAAAAGAAATTTCCTCAACCTGATGAATGGCATCTGTGATAAAACAACAACAACAAACATCCCAAATAACATCATGGTTGATGGTAAAAAACGGCATGCTTTTTCTTTAAAATCGGGAGTAAGTTATAAGCATGTTTCTGAAACTTCTGTTTGACACTGTACTAGAGGCTATAGCCAGAGCAGTTAGGCAGGAAAATAAAAACATTTAGATTTGGAAATAAAGAAGTGAAGCTTTTTCTGTGTGTAGATGACACGATCATGTATGTAGAAAATCCTAAGTGCTCCATTAAAACATGATTAGAATTAAAAACCAAGTTTAGGACATCCTTGGGATGATGCAGGAGACCTAGTCAGCAATTCTAGACTCCTCCACAGCTCAGAAAAAAGGCAGTGAAAGTACAGCTGTTCTGAGAGGTGGGTGACAGAATGAACACTCTGACACCTGATATTGGACAGCTTGAGATCTGGAGAGACTTGGAGTTTGGTTATCAGAGCAGAAAATAAGGAAATAATTCCTTGATCTTGAACCCTGACCAGGTTAGATAGGGTCAGTGGGTAAGATAACAAGCAGGAGAAGCCCACAAGCTTACTTCTTTGGCAGTAGATGGAAAGAAAGGGAGACCAAGATAAAACAGGACAGGAGCAGCCAAGACAGTACAGGAAATCACACAACTCAGCTAAAAGCTTGGAAGGGCAGGACAGCCATTGTAGAGAGCCCACAGTTAGTCAGCCTCCTAGTAGAAATAAAATCAATACAGCTTCTCCCCACCAAAAGACAGTGACAAATAAAACCATAGGGGATATCTCTGAAGAGATTGCCTCACTAATCCATCTAGAAGGAACTTGTGGAGGGTCCGCTGGTAGCTGCAGGCTACTGAAGTCCCTTCCCCCATATCTTATAAAAGGGGAGTGGGGTGGAGCTGGCCCAAGAGCTGATCACTCCTGAGAAGTACTACCTTCAACTCTGGTACTCCTAACAGCCTCAGCAGGACCTCAGGTGAATACAGCCAACTAACAGCCTTCTCCGCTACAAGGATGGGTAAAATTCCAGTGAGCTGCATCAGCCAGCCAGAAGGTTTTTGTGTCATAGACTGCCCCCAGAGAGACTGTGCTCCCAGGCCCCACAGTTGCAGATAGCCACCAAGCACTTAAACTACAAAGAAACCCAGCAAAGGGTAACAGTACTCAGAAATTCATAGGTGCCATTCCTAAGAGGACAAATGAAGGCAAGCCATCAGACACCCTACCTCAGTCACAGTGACAGGTGAAATCTGGTGATCTGCAGCAGCCAAGATGGAGGCTCCTGTGTTACTCACATACCACCCACAACTCCCAGGCCCTCCCTACAGTTGCTGACAACAACCAAACCTCAGGATCACTATCAACAAGCCCCTGTAGAAAGAGCCAGTGCTCAACATTCCACAATGGGTCAGCCTCAGCCCTGAGCCCTGCACCCTACACCCCACCCCACCCCCAACAGAAATAGTCAGCAGACACAGTGTCCTCCAAACCTGCAGATTTGAACTGCATCAAAGTTCAAAACTTTTGTGTTTTGATCAAAATCATCAACAGCACACACAAGGGCAGAAAATATTTGTAAGTCTTCCTATAAGGAAATTTTTAACAGTAGAGAGACAACACACATTAAAACATTGGAAAGGACTGGAATAGATGATTCTCTAAAGAAGTTGTACTAATGACCAATAACACATAAAAAAAGTTCAGTGATGCCAGTCATTAGGAGATGTATATCCAAACCTCAGTGAGAAATGACTTCACCCCAGGAGGCTGCTTGTGTTTAAAAAGATAGAAAGTAGCAAATGTTGGGAAGACTGGAGAATCTGGTACCCCATTCATTATTGGTGGGAGTGTAGAGTGTTTGGAAAACTTTTTTGATTCCTCAAAAATTTAAACATAGAGCTACCTTTTGACCCATCTAAACTAAAATAATAACTTTTAAGCTTACATGATCTTCTAAGTTCCCATCTTTGCTTCTCCTTACACCATTTCCTATTCCATGGTCTGTCTTTGGAATGGAAACTTGCCATTTCTATTTTACTCTTATTTTCTGTAGTGAGCGTTCTGTATGTCTTGTGTACATATTGTAGTCTCTTAGGTATTTGTTGATTAAATTCTTGGATTTGTATGAGAGAAGATCATATATTTGCCTTAAAATAATGGGAGTAGGGCTGGGGTTGTAGCTCAGTGGCTGAGTGCTCGCCTCACATGCGTGAGGCACTGGGTTCGATCCTCAGCACCACATACAAAAGTAAATAAATAAAAACAAAAATATTGAAAAAAATTTAAAAAAAATAATAATGGGAGTAAATTCTGCAGCACCTCCAAAATCTTCATAGGCATTGTTAGAATCATCCTCTTCAACTTGGAACCGAGAACAGGATTTGTAGATTTGTTTCATAAGTCTAATTATGTTCAACCTGAGAAAAATACAGAGAGTAGTAAGACCTAGCCAGGGTCAGTAAAGACATTCTGTTTCCATAGAGTTTTGTTCTAATTTTGTTAGCACAGTGGAACTGGAAGTAGATACCTTCCCAAATCATATTTTAAAAAATTTTATCTGGTTTTTGCCCTAAACAAAATGTTGTCATTTCTACCATGATATATCCCTCAATATGAGTGGGGATTTGAAGGCTGTAGCTCATCTAGTCATTTTCAAATAATTCTGAAACATAAAGATTTAATTTTATTAAAATAGATTAAGGTCATATGGGAATATAGATAGCAATTAACATTAGATTATCATGACAGCATAAACTGAGACTTCTTGTATTCCCAAGGTTCTTATTTTCTTTTATAAAATCATGAACATTTCAATTGAAAACAGTTTTAAAAATAAAGTATGCCTGATATTTATGCCATTAAAAGATAAAAAAAAATCAAACCTGGAGTTGAAGTTGATTCATGATTCTAACCAAGTTTACATGTTTCGGTGGTAGTAGATTTTAAAGCTAAAGAGCTAATTCAATTCAATTTGTCTCATTTCAAAGCATTTATATTATCCAGATTATGGCTTTTCATAATCTACAATCTATGATAAATTGGATGAAGACATCAGATACAGCCCATTGGATAGACACATCAGAGTCAACCACTGACTGTCCACCTGGATTGGAATATTTGGCTGAGGTATAATAATGTGTTTCTTCACTTATTTGATCCATAATACCATGAATATAGATTCTGCCATATTATATATTATGCTATAAAATTTTTGACTATATGTTAAACTACTATAATATTAATATTTTTACATATTATTTGAATATAAATGTCCATTTTCACTGAGATATTAAACTTGCATTTTAAATGTTATAATATTATTATTTACAAATTTATTCTCTAGGAAGCCCACTTAAGAATAAATGCCTACTTTTTCTGGGTGTGGTGGTGAATACCTATAATGTCACCATCTCAGGAGGCTGAGGCAGGAAGATCAAGAGTTCAAAGCCAACCTCAGCAAAAGCGAAGACTTCTTGTATTCAAGCAATTCAGTGAGACCCTGTCTCTAAATAAAATACAAAATAGCGCTCAGTGGTTGAGTTCCCCTGAGTTTAATCCCTGGTACCAAAAAAAAAAAGAAGAAGAAGAAGAATAAATGCCTACTTTTAAAATATGGAAATGGATTTTGAATTTGTAACTTAAAATTAACTCCTGAAATCCTCATTTCACCTAATGTTTTTGTATTAGGTGCCTGGTATGTAAATGTGAAATATGAAGAATTAGGAAATTGTCTCTCATTTTGTACCAGATTGTCTGAGATTGAATTAGTTTGTTTATCCTGTCAATTCAGATTCAATTTCCTGTGATAATGTCTCTGAAAAATTAACTTTGGCAATTCAGATGTCTGTAATAACTGATCACATTTTATTTTGTAATACTTTAAAAATAAAATGGTATGCATTTTCCTTCTTTGAAAAGATTGCTTACTTTTTCAATTCTTAATTCGAAATAGTCATGCATTATTATAAAATACAACAAACAAAATATAGTAAAATTTGGGCAAAAGCTATATGAAAATTTTTATTTCAAATTAACAGCATAGGGTTGGGGTTGTAACTCAGTGGTAGAGCACTTGCCCAGCATGGATGTGGCACTGGGTTCGATCCTCAGCACCACATAAAAATAAATAAATAAAATAAAGTTATTATTTCCATCTACTACGAAAAATATTTTATAAGAACAAAAACAAAAATAAATTAACAGCATAGATAGTTCTCTCTGAATTCCAAAAATATATCAATAATATTGCCAAAATATTGGTAAATAAATTTTTGTTAACCAAAATATTGGGTACATTAACAATAGATAAAAGTAAAACTTTTTATAAATTAAGACTTCTCCATTTGCCTGTTTTTTTCACTAAAATAAAATTCAAAATTTAATTTTAGCCTCGCTAGCTAAAGAAGCGTATTATATTAGCGTATTATAGAAGATGTGTGGCAAAAACATCAGAGATATTGAAAATTGATCAATTTCTTTAAATGTATCAAAATATTTATTTATTTTTTTGTGTTGGTACACTTTAAATTTAGTCTGATTATTTTTGCTCCAACAGGTAAATCAGTTGACAGTGTGTCATCGTTTTGATATGGAAGGTATGTACTCAAACACTGATGTATTTGCTCCTTCTTGAAGATGTAATGTGTTTTGCTGTAGTTAGATCAGCCTCTAAAAATATAAATTGCCCTTTTGGAGAAAACTAGGCCCTGGGGGCAAAGAGACTCCCAGAAGGCCCTTAGATGAGGAGGTGAGTACAAGGCAGTTTTCTGGTAAAGGAAAAATATACCTGCCTCAGGATTGTGCCTGAAGGGGCTAGTCTTCACTTTCAGCTTTGCTAAACACAGGTCTGCCTTCTCAAATGTTTTTTTTTTCATCCTGAATTCCTGAAATATAGATATCCACTGAAGCAGTGATTGCAGGTTTATTTAGGAATTCTGCTAGTAGAAGCAGAATCAGCTAAGTTTTTTATCAAGTCTGAGAAATTAAATTGTCCACTAAGAATCCAATTTTTTATCTTTATGTCACCTTATTTCCTTCACGCAGATGAAATTGTAACCCACGTAAACAAAATTTTTCATTTTAAACATGGTAAAGTCATTACTGATGACTTTGTTGTATACATTTTCTGACCAAAATAGGCATTTGTGTTTTCTAACTCATAAAAACCTTTCTAGTTTGCTATTTAACAGCAGTTCTTTGAGTTTTTTTTTTTTCATGCTGCATTGCATTAAGATGTTTCATTTTCATGAAAGTCATTTACTCCAGAAATACCACTGCATACCTACCATGAACAAGGCATGTGCTAATCACCTTGAGAGAATCAGAGAAGAGTCAGACCTGGGTTGCCCTGACGGGTTTGCTCTGAAGCCTGAGGAATAAATATGCTTAAAGAAAATATTTGTACTGCAGTCCCAAGGTCGTGAGAGAATTTGTAAAAACTAGTTGGTGGATACAAAAGAGAGGAACAATGAAAGTTGCTCATAATTTAAAGTCACAAAAATAGCGGGAAGACTCTAAGCATCCATGTGTAAGGAGCTAGTTCTCTAAACCAGTGGTTCTCAAAGTATGGTCCCTGGAATAGCAGCATCAACATCTTCCAGGAGCATGTTAGAAAAACAAGTCCCCGGGTTCCGTCATAGGCCCAAAGTGATCTAATATGTAATTTACACAAGTCTCACATCAGTATTACTAACAAATCACCTTCTTGTTTCATTCTCCAGTCCTCTGTTATTTGGAAGCTAATAAAACATACGAGGTCATGAATAATCAAGGACATAGAATTTATGTTGTAGAAGAGCAAAGTAATTGGTTCCTGCGATACCTCTGTGGATTGGCCAGGCCGTTTACCATGACGATTTATGATAACACAGGTCAAGTAGTGATCACTGTGCATAAAGGTCTAGGAGGCAGCTGCTGTTGCTGCATTCGCTGCCACAGCTGCTGCCCACAGAAGGTCAGTAACTGCTTCTTGCACCACAAGATTGACAATGTATTTGACATTCTTCACAAGGACCTCAAAGCAAGGCAGTATGATAAAAGTCAGACATTGGATTTGGTTAAGGAAAATTATCTGGAATGAAGTGTCAGAAAGAGAACTAAATTTTTGTTCCACATGTCCACAGGCTGAGAGTTACTGATAACATGGTCAACTTTTTCTCAGGCAATGAAGGTCACACGATCTTTAGGGTTTTTTGTTTGTTTGTTTGTTTTTAATTCTAAAATATCTAAGCATCCATCCAAAGCTTCATTTTTGACTTTGGTCATTTATAATCCAGATAAGTGACAGTTTTGAGTTTCTCAGTTTTATAGTTCCTACCATGCTTCAAACTATTATTTTGGGTTGTTTCATGAGATGGATAGTCAAGCACAGCCACAAGAGAATCCACAGAAGCAGCACAGGAGAGCAAATCTAGTTATACTCACAGGTTCTAGAGATAGTCACCTCGAAGCACTAGGGAAACACCTGTGGAGTGGCTTCACCAAGCAGGGAAGGAGAGAGTTGGGATTCATGGGCATGAGTCTTTGAGTATTGTTGATGCTCTCTTTCATCTGTCTATCCATTTGTTTATCTGTTTGTCTTTCTACACAATATGTATTGGAAGAAGAATAGAAGAAACTCTGCATCAATAGGGGAAGTTTATTTTGGCAATTAATTTTCAGAAACATTACCAAGACAAGTCAATGGAAAAGGAAACTTCTACTTGATGGGTGTATTTCTCCTTATTTAAAAGTTCCTTTTTAATAATTCCCAATAGTGACTAGTTATTGAAAGTCTTTAGGTCTTGAAAATATTCTATTAGGGATAATGTAATTATTTTAAGTTTTTTATATATTACAAAAATATATAATATATTTGTAATGTTTATATATTTATCAATTTATACATTTATAATGTTATATATTATAACAGTATTTTAATTGAAATCTTTCTCTTCATGTTGCTTATATAAAGCATCCATCTGTACAAATTTACCCTTTACTCTTTGACTTTTACAAATTCATGAAGCTTGCTTTGTAGTCTTTTTAAATGTTTGTTTTCTATTTTGTGATAGAAAAGTACAAAATTTTCACTTCTTTAACTGATTGTATTTTTATATATAAATATATGAATGTATGTGTTTATTACTTACTTCCTTTTCATGCTAGTTAGGAACTGTAATATAATGTTGACAAGAAGCAGAAGAGAAAATAGCCTTGAATTTTGTCCTGTTTCAGAGGAAAGAATTCAGTCTTTAGGTGTGATGCTATATGTAAGTTTTTGAAAGATAGTTGTTATTCAGTTGAGAAAGATCCCATCTGATTCTAATTTTCTGATTTTATTAGTACTTACTTTTATACTTTGTCAATTTTTTTCCTATGGATTTTAAGTATATGATTTTTCTCTTATTCTATAAGTATGGTGGAAATAGCAAATATTCTTTTTTTAACATTAAATCAGCCTTCTATTCCTGGAATAAATCTGCTTTGAACATGTTTCATTTATGTATTTCTGGGTTCAGTCTGCTAAGCCGTTGAGTCTGTATTTATAATATATCAGTCTAATTTTCCTTTAAATCTTTATGTGATTTTAGAATTTAGGATGATGTGGGTCTCATAAAAGGCATATCTGTATTTTTTCCTTCTTCCTTTTCTTTTCTGAAAGAGCTTTTGTAGGATTAGAATTACATCTTTTTTCAATATCTGTATTCCACAGTGAAGCCATTTCATCCTTGAGATGTAAAGGACTTTAATATTAAATTCAAAATTTCCTTAACAGCTCTAGTGATATCTGTTTTTCTATTCTTAACTTCATTTTTATAATTTGTTTTTTTTTCATATACTTTGCCGATCTCAGTTGTTGAATTTATTGGCATAAAGTTCTTGATTCATTTCTATATTGTTCTAAGTTTACAAGCTTCGTAACAATAACTGCTCTTGCATTCCTGATATCTGTAATTTGTGATTTTATTATAATGTTGTATTTTTATACCTTTATTTATTTATACGTGGTGCTGCGGATCGAACCCAGTGCCTCACACATACTAGGCAAGTGCTCTACCACTGAGCTACATCCCCAGGGCCCTAATTTGTGATTTTTGGTATGCTTACTTTATGAATTGTATTGATCTTTTCATCTCATTTATTCTCTCTGTTTTTGTTCATCACTCATTGATTTGTTTCCTCTAATGTTTATTGATTCCTTTTTTCTACAATTTTTCTTGGCTTATTAGATTGAAAACTTTTAATTCTGGCTCTAAATCTTTTTCCACTTTTCACATGCGCATTTAGAACCATATTTATTTATATGTATTTATTTATGTGTCTTTAGAACTGTATGTGTACTATATATAAATGTTCAGGACTAATTATGTCCTTCTGTAAGCACTAGTTAGATATAAATTGGATAGGCTCTATTTAATTATTACTCATTTCAAATATTTTCTAACTTTTCTACACTGTTTCACTTCATCTAAGAGTTGTGTCAACAGACTCTGACAGTCAGGACATAGAAACCTCACAGTAATCTGATAAAAAGGAAGCTGATAATAAAGAATTACAAAGCTGTGATAGGCAAGTATCATGATGTCATAAAGAAAGCATGAAGGGGCACACCTGTGCCGAGAGAGCCATACCCACAGTATAGGGCAGGGCTACAGTTCAGCCTTGGTGGAGAAGGTATGCAGCAGCCAGCAGCTGGAAGGTACAGAATAGCTGCCTGAGCCAGAGCTGGTCCACAGCACCACGAGGGAAACCTGTCTGTGGTGCAGGCATGCTGTGGTGGGAGATGAGCATGCAAGTGACTGGGTTTCCTCTGTGGATGCCAGAGCTGGTAGGCAGGCAGGCAGAGGCCACTGGAAAGACACTCTGGGTCTGAATCCTGGGATATGCTTGTCCATATGGGGAGATGAATGGAAAATAAATCTCAGGAACACAGCTGAGAAGCAGCTAATAAGTGAACATAGGAGGGAGGGGTCTTGGGGATGCAGCCCTAGAATGTATAGTAATCGCCACATCAGGAATACCCAGTCTGGTGAGGTTGCAGACCAGGACTGCAGGTTTATGGAGATAATATACAAGCTTGATATGCTGCAAGGGCAGAATACCAGTGAATGTCCCCAGACTCTTGCACAGCTAAGCAACCACGAAGAAGGAGCAAGAAGGCCAGGTGGAGGGCAAGGTCACTGCACCCAGAGGTAGGAAAAGAATCCCTCTGTCTCATGCAGTGTCCCTCCGGTGACCTCTACTGACAAGGCTTACTCTCAAGTTCATTGTAAAGGAGAAATGCTTAAAGTCCCAGAGCAAGTAGAGGAAGGGTCAATTTGGAGCTGAGAGGTAATCAAGTTGATAACTGACACCATTACTTAAAAGTGCACTTGTAATTTTCTAAATTTTTAAGGTGCTTTTATATCTTCGTATTATCTACTTCTCATTCAATTCTGTTGTAGTTAGGGCACATGCTGTGTATTATTTCAATCTTTCAAAATTGACTATGAAGTATTTACTGGGCCAGCATCAGGTCTACCTTGTGGAATGTTCCATGTGGATCTGAGAAACTGGGTATGGTGCTAGTGGATGAAAGTTTTCACAGTGTCCGTTCGTTCAAAATTGCTATTAAACCAATCACATTTCCTATCTCTTTACTGACCTTCCACCATCATTGTATTGTGATTGGATAGAAACATATGTGTATATATGTTTTATACACACACTGTTTTGGTCAGATTTTTCAGTGTTCTGACTAAAAGGCCTTACGAGATCAATTTTAGAGGAAGAAAAGTTTATTTGGGGGCTCACAGTCTCAGAGGTCTCAGTCCATAGAAGGCTAACTCCACTCCTGGGGTCTTGAGGTGAAGCTGATCAAGACGGAGGAGCAAGGCAGAGGGAAGCAGCACATGATCAGGAAGCAGAGAGGCCACCTCCTTAATCCCATCAGGGGATTGATTCACTGATTGGGTTAAGGCTCTCACAACCTATTTATTTCTCCTCCAAACCTATTTGCATTGTCTCACACATGAGCTTTCTTTCCAGTACCAGGGATTGAACCCAGGTGCATTCTATCACCGGGCCACATCTCCAGCACCTTTATTTTTTAATTTTCTGACAGGGTCTCACTAAGTTGCTGAGGCTGGCCATAAATTTGTCATGCTGTTTCCTCTACCTCCTGGTCACTGGGATGAGAGGCATGCAGAGTTTCCATTTCTTGAGGGCAGGTTCCAGTGGAAGCTCACTCTTGTAGGAACTTTGGAACTTTTTATGATGACACTGGATGTCCACAGCAATATTGGGTCAACATTAATTCCTATCACGTCTCTCACGCATTCCTATTTGCTTGTAGAACATTTTGAATTTTTATGGTGATCCCATAGAAGAGTACAGGTCTAGAGATTGCAATTCTATTTTACTGCAAGATATTAGACATATAGCATCTAAGTTCTTTCTGAATCTGTCTTCTCCATTGATCTCCTCCACCTTTATTTGAACGTCTTTCTTTCACCCCAGATCTCCCTGTCTTGCTCAGTTGAGTTAAAATTGTTCCAGACATTTCTTGCCAGTGTTAAGTACAGTTTTGTTATGAAAGGGAGATTTGGGTTTTTAAAATTTTTTATTTGTTCTAATTTGTTATACATGGCAGCAAAATGCATTTCAATTCATTGTATACAAATGAAGCACAACTTTTCATTTCTCTGGTTGTTCATGATGTAGAGGCACACCTTTCATGCAAATATACATGTACCTAGGGGAATGATGTCTGTCTCATTCCACCATCTTTCCCACACCCATGTCCCTTTCCCTCCAATCTCCCCAACGCTCAATCCAAAATTCCTCCATTCTTCCCTTGCTCTGCACCCCCCAACTCAACTACATTATGCATCAGTATCCACATGTCAGAGAAAACCTTTGGCCTTTGGTTTTTGGGGATTGGCTTATTTCTCTTAGCATGATATTTTCTAGCTCCATCCATTTACCTGCAAA